ATGAAATAGTTGACCAGACGATGGTGATGGCACATGTCACTGTATGAGCGCGTGCGGTCGTACTGCGCGCCATCGAGCGTTCTAGTCGCCTCCTTGTGACTTCTTCCTCCTCCCAAGTGCTTTAATGTTTTATGGTAATGCATAATCACATCAATTGACATGGTCTTATCACCCTTTTTTGGAGTTCTTTCCTTAGACTCCCAAATGCATCCAAAAATGAAATCTTGGTGAAAACAGGCAAAAAGAGCTACGCAAGCGCGATAAAATACCACAAAGCCTACCATGTAGGAACAAAATAAAGGGTAAAAACATTGTAAAAATTGGACTCGTCACCCGGCACTCATGAAGTTTGAGCCTACACACCTCAATTTCTTCCCGATGTCGTCTACTCTCCTGCATAACATCACATCTCGCACTCCTCTCTTGGTTATTCTTCACCTCCATCTCTAGATGTTCTTGCTTCCTCTTCTTGGCGTACTCATTTCTTGTCCTCATGAACTCATTGATCTGTTTATTCATCACCTTCATATATCCTTCTCTGTCGAGCTTCTACTTTCCTCTCTTCCTCCCACCGGGCGACCCGTGCTAGACACCGGAGTGGGACTTTCTTGGCACCCTTTCCCTTTCCTCTTCATCACTATCAACATCTTCACCATCCTCCATCTCTAGAGAGGAATCGTTGCACTTCCCATTTTCATGGAATGTCGTTATCATTCCTTGACTTCCACTTCTTATGGCCTTAAAAAATCCAGCAATGTTAGAGACCAAACATTTTACCATTCGGCTTTGCCATTTGTCGAGACCTCTCTTGTGCTATGGAGGACTAAAACAAACAAATGCTCAAATTGATGACAATGCTCAAAGTAATGTCAGTGTGGCAAAAACAACAAAAAATTTCCTTACATATTGCTCAATGGTGACACCACTAGGAAGAGCATGCTTTACTTGATCCAAACAATCCGACGAGTGACTGCAAATCTCTTGAACAGTACCCAATGGTTTGTGAAATATTTGACAAGGTATTGTTTGTTATACGTCCAAGATGATGTTTAAAATCCTCCTCGATGTGCTTCTAATACTTTGTGCTCGTTTCACACTGAGAGAGATATCTTCCCATCCCTTGAGAAATGCAATATCCTCATCCAGGTGAAGTTTGATCACCAAATTTCTTTCTTCCACGACGAGAAGGAGGGTTAGAGTTGATCAAATTTTGTATCTCGGTTGGACACATATTTTTTTTCTCAAAATGCGGCAATGATGCTCCCTCAAGATCAAAATCATTTGTCCTGCCAAAATAACCCGTCATACTCTTGATAAATGTTTCATTGTTGACCATCCACCCCCTACAATCACATAATCATGGCTAAATCACAAGCATTGTGCATTTTCCAACAATTCTCTATGGCCATCTCACATTCAATCGAGCAAAGACCAAATATAAGGCAAATGGTGTTTTTTTACCACATCATAGTTTTGATTCGGCGTAGGACTAGAGAGGCGCCCAAGTTCCACCTGTAACTGAGATGAAGGGCAGATGGGCAACGGCCTGGGGAGGCCTTTTCGTCAATTTCTTCGCTGACAACTGCTACATCACCTACTGGAGCTTGCATGCGGTAGCATAGGGTTTGACACCTCTCTGTCTGACTTGTTATCGGCAGGGTTGGCGAGGTGCTGGCCTAGGCATGGCGACCGACCATCAGAGTCGTAGGAGGCGTAACAACCGTTGAATTCGCGGGATCGAACTCCAAACTGATGGAATCGGGCATGAGGGTCAAGGCAATGTGCACGACACCATTAGCGGTGACTGGGGACAGCCGGAAGCATCAAAGGTGGTGCTACACGGAGGAAGGGGAGGCAGTAGTGCGTGTGGAAAGAGCAGCGGGAGGGGGGAATGACACTTGTGTCAAACCGTTTTCAAGATAATATATGCTCCAAATATCTCCCACAACTGCCAAATACTGAGGCTCGCAGGCTAGGTTTGAAGCATCTCCAAAAATTTATGCGATCGGAGGCGAGATGGTGACTCTACTACAATGATTTATTCAGTTAAAAACGTTATTATGGCGATCAGTCGATATTACGACTCTTCTAGAGTTGCTCTTACTCTACTCAATAGCTTATTTGAAAATAAAAGGCTTTCTTTAGATCAATTAGAAATCACCGGTTTGACAAAAGCACATTCAAATATGAAAAATGGTAAAATGTGGCATATATTTTAAATGGGGTAAAACAGATGAAAACCCCTTTAAATGAGGTAATCTTTATACAAAATGACAAAAGAGAAGGTAAAATATGGAATTAACTCAAAATGGCATTTCTAATGTGAGCATCATAATAAAGAATTTGATATTACTATCAAGCTGATATCAAGCATATATCAGAACCAAAAACACATAGGTGAGGTTATGTACTTTGAAGTTCAAACACCTTTTTTTGTCAACACTGATTTTACTTTAGCAAAAAAATATCCTAACTAAAGAATCACTTCAACAGTTGAGATTCCTTTTGGCCTCTTGATGGATAGGGGACCAGGCACTTAGATAAGTTACGGAAGTGCGCATGCAGGTAGCTAAAATATGTACATTTGCACATTGCTCCAATGGAACCTAAGTTCACATCTGGCTGACGCACTACCTTCCTCTAACATGGACGACTTTCGTACATTCACAAACAATCATATGGCCCCTTGATATATTTAAGTGGAATGTGTTTATTGAGATACAGTACGAAAGTTGAGCCACTTCTAATACGGAAAATGCATGGATGGCTCATCAGAACTCATTGTTGAGAAAATCGTTAACTGGTAGCTGCTCGGTCGGCTGGTGAGTAGGGGATTAATAGACTAATCGGCAAGTTAATCGGCCATTTAATCAATTAATCGGACGATTTATCGGGTAATCGGCTACTCGGGGACCCTATGAATAGGGATTAATCGGCAAGTTAACTGGTTAATCGGATGAATTCTTGAACAGGGTCAGAACTATCAATTTTCCCCCTGCAACTTGCTCAAGTGTGAGAGATGGAGAGGCGCAGGGTACTGCTCTTACAAAAAAGGCACTCCTGCGTCGAACCTTTCGGGCGTCTTGGGTGGAAACCTTAGCCGTTGTCACCGCCCGCCTCCTCCCCTCTCCCCTCCCTCGCTGCCACCAGCACACGTCATCGGCAAAGCCTGTTGGTGTCCGCCAGCGGTTGGACTTGGCCCTATCGCGGTCGCATTGTTGAGTGCGCAACTCCTATTGTGGATGTGGTGTGATGGCCTGCCTCGGATCATCGGCTTTAGACGGTGCTCCAACGTGTGCGGTGGCTGATGCAGCATATGGCATACGTCATCCGTGCAGCTAGGTGTTGTTGTGTGCTACTCTAGTGTGGTGGTCGATCCAGGTGGATGTGGCCTCTCGCTCTGATGACCGGCCATGGCTCAGATCAAATCTACCTCGGGTCTGACTAATGCATGGCGCGGGGCTTGTAAGTTGATCCGGGTGAAAATCGTGGCTGGAGCCAGCGATAACGATGATTTCGACCATTGATCTCTTCTTGATGGCATCATCGAAGTGGCGCTCTTCGTCTTTTACGATTGCAGCTTCTAGGGAACCCTATTTGTATTATCGGACGATGGCAATGCTTTTGCTTTGTCTACCTCCGTGGGGGCATTGATTTTGGAGCTGGGCATTGGCATGAGAGACATATGGAAGACCACAATGTTGGTGTTGCTTCCTCTGGCCAGACTACGATTAAGATTTCCCAACGCCAACACCTCCATGAAGAAACTGATGTATGTGCTTCGTCGTCGTCTATCCAACCATACATCGGAGTGGAGGGAAAGTCCAAGCAATCACCACACATTGCCTTCAATAACGTAGCGCAGACCAGCATTTCAAAAAAAAGAGAGAAGGGAATTCAGCCCATCACTGAGAGGTACAACCAATGAAGATAGATATAGGGTTTTCAGCCGAGAACTTAATACACATTACTCAAAAGAGCACCAAAAAAACAAAGCCTCATTATTGCCGCCATTACCATGAAGTCTTGTTGCAATGCTTCAACCGGTAGAAAGGACATGCACATTCCATGAACCTCGGACCTACAAATTCCAGATCTATACATGGAGTACGTGCACACGCACTTTCTACCCCTATGAGCACATCCAAGAGACTGGCCTCGTAGATCATGAGGATCTGCTAAAGATGCACTTAGTTGCCCCTTGTGTGTGTTTCCTCTAGGTCTTCACTTCACTTCTCTGCCTTGTCCTTCACTATATTAAGTAGGAGGACATATAAGAGGCACTAATGGCAAGTGTAAAGGTGCCGACACTTGAAACACATGGATGATGATGTACGCGGAACCCAATCGGTCAACACTCGAAATGCCATGTGAGTCTGATAACACGCAGAAGTAGATTAAGGTTTGCAATGCGCGATGACTTGAAAAGGATGTTGCTGACTGTGTATTGTATCGGATGAAATGAAATGAACATGCATGTGGATTAGGCTGCATGCGTGGATGTGTATATCCTTGATCATGTGTTGAGTTGACTTATGCCGCATCAATTTTTAAGTTCCAACGACGACAAACTCCATCGTGAAGTCAACATCTAAAACATGATAAATGCAAACTCACCAAGAAACACACTTCAAAGGAAAGATGGATACGTACGTAAGGTAAAGCATGAGATGGAGCCATGGATGGTGAGAGGACGTGTTGGAAAACTCTAGGTTTAAAATTAACTACCTAACTGGTGCCGAAGCTCACGTACGTCGGCTAGATGCATATATTTTTGCAATGTCTCTAAACAAATAACTGGCCAAATCAGTGGCAACTGATCCCACTACATGTGTATACAATTCAGCGTGGGCAGAAAAAAACTTGCACGCTTGGCTTATAAATGCACGTACAAGCCGTAGGGTGCAGCTCATCATCACTGCAGATTCCACAATATCAAGTAGCTCGACGCTCCTCGCAGGGAAGCCAAGTGAGCAAAGGTAGACAGAGCTGTATTAGCCATGAAGCTAGTGATGTGCTTGTGCATCTTCATCGTTCTCGTCATCACCTCCTCGCCTATCGCGGTCTCCGGCGACCGTCCGCTGATGCTGGGCCGACGGTGCCTGCAGGACACCGTGGTCATCGGCGGCGGCCCAACCCCGACAGGGGCGAGCACCACAGGGACGTTGCCGCGTGACGCGGCGCCGGACATATCTGTTGATAGGTCGAAGAGGCTCAGCCCCGGGGGATCTAACCCCCAGCATCACTGATCTCATCATCGATATCAGCTTTCTGCATGCATGCCTATCTTATGCTGTCATTTGCCAACATTTCTCTACCCGACTTTCCAAACTAGATTCCTAACAACGGCGAAGTGATGTGATCCATTTTTCTCCAACGTGAAAGTGGATTTGAGGTTAAGTCCCTGGTCAATAATGCACGTTTTCCGTCTGCAATTTCCTTTCTTATGTATTGCCGCAGACTTTATCTTGTAAACGACACACATACCATAATGAGTATATTAAAAAGAGTTCCCTTGAATTTATCTCCAATTGTACCTGTCTTGACTTCCTAATTTAGACTTTGTTTCTATTTGCAATCTCCTTCAGGTCCGATCTCAGCGATACTTTCTTCGTTCTAAAATACTCAACATGCAAACGTAATTTCACAATTACATTTCATTAGATTACATTACAGTGCATCCTAATGATGCAGAGGCTGGGGTTTAAACCTCCTTTAAAAAACAGATCACGTCACAAAAAAGACTACAAAGTTACATCATGAAGCACTTTCCATTCCCTAAGAAAAGCACTTTCCATGATGATATAAGTAACAGTATGTGTTAGTTTTGTTGAACCAATATCAGTTAACCTTTAGATATCATTTGTTAGTTGGAGATCTATTTTGACAGTATAAAACAAGAAAGTCGAAATGGATATTGGACCACTAACGATGCATATCTTGATGAAGTCAAAGTATGTTGTGTTAACGAAAAGGGAAGGGCCATCTTGTAGAGCAAGGACCGTTGAATTAATTTAAGGTATGATAACCGAAAGGAGCTGAAGGCCAAAATGCAAGTACACATACACTAATTAAGAAACATGTTGGCCTATTAACTAGAAATCGTTACAAAATGTCAGATTAATTATTGCCCTGATTCGGTTACACTTCCTTTTATTTTGCTAAAAGGATCTGAACTGAGTCCATTTCATAACTAAGAGCACCTCCAGCCGTTGGCCCACCCAGGGGGGCGCGTAAAATCGCCGCCTGGGGGTGAGCCGGCGCTAAAATCGGCGTGGGTGCGAGCGGGTTCCCAGCCGCCGGCCTCAGGGTCGCCCCCAGACGCGGTTTTTTTAAAGGAATTCGGCAGAGTTCGGCAAATTGAACAAAACTTTCGGCTAAAGTTCGGCAAACTTGACATATATTCAACAATGTTCGACGTTACATAAGTTATTTAAAAAAATCCAACTAAGGGGCGAAGAAGTCGCTGAGAGCGGCGAAGTCGCCGATGTCGCCGCCATCCTCGTCGTCGTCGTCCGCCTTCTCCTTCTTGACGCCTCTGCTGGACCCCTGCCCGGCGTCGCCCTGACGGACCGGTGGCGGCGGCGCATCGTCGTCGCTGTCGTCGAGGACGATGATGCCTCCCTCGTCCCGGCCACGGTGTCGAGCTTCGAACCGCTCATAGGCGAGGCACTGGCACTCCAGCTCCGTGCGCACCAGTCTTCACGCGCCCACTTCAGGGCCGCCGCGTCGTCGAGCTCCTCCTTGACGCTGTCGGCGAGCCCGGGCTCCGTCTTCACGACGGTGATCCCCGGCTCCGTCTTTGGCTTGACGTAGCGCGGAGGAGCCGAGGAGGAGGCGCGCCTACCGCCCTCGTTGATGACGATGCCAGCGTTGTGGGTGCACCGACCGAGTGGCGTCTCCACAGCGGGCTCGGCCTTGACGCCGAGCAGCGCCGGCGAACCGGAGGAATGGGAGGAGGACTCAGAGGAGGAAGACAAGGAGC